CCCACCCCAGCCACTAGGCATCCAAGTAGGATGTAGGGCATTTCCTTTTGAATTGTTATGGCAATTGACCTTGGTGTCCCCTGAGACTATGACCCTGATCCCCAAGCATCAACAACTTGTTCCCTCAAAGTGCTTGGTTATATCTAAGAAGTTTTCATAACTTTGTTCCTTTTATGCTCCACTACATTCATGGATATATGTAAAATATATAAGTAAAAACACATATAAAATGTCCTCTATCAGACCTATATATAGTCATGGTTGCACCCCCATTCCCCTCTGCTTCATTCAGTGTACCTATCCAAGTATCTACTCCTAGATCCCGGCTGTTGCAGGATTACATACATTATATTTGTCTCTCTTCTAACACTTGCAAACATCCCAGTGCCCTTCCCTGCCTCCACAATTTTGTCCTAGCTTCCCTTTTATTGTATATTGCCCTCCCCTTTACCAAAACTAATGCTTGTATACCCCATGACTTCCCCTCCCTCCTCACCACCCACCCCTGGGAACCATCATAGAGTACTTGTTCTCATGTGAAAATCTATTCTTGACTTTCATTATAGCGGTCTCATTCAATATTTGTCCTTTTATATACACGTCATTTTCAACAATTATTTTTTTCCTTGAATTTTACCTCATTCTTTCCTCTCTGTTCACTCACCTATTTCCTTCTCCTTATCCCCATAAGTTTAACAATTTCAATTTCTTTCTCAGGCACATGTGCATGCCCCACAGACACACACCGTGAATTAACTTGCTTTTGAAGTTCTATTGCCTGAACCCATCTTGGTTTGGGACCATTGTTAAAGTTCACATAAGAAATCACACAAATCTATTCCCCTCACAGAGGCCCCACTGGAGAGGGAAGACACATAACTTGTCCACTCGGGATTGGCAGACAGGAAGTAGCCTTACACTAGGGAGGCATCCAAAAATATCTAACAGTTAGTACCCACTGGGCTCGGATTCATTAATCAAAGGGAATTCATACTTAGATCTGTGGGGAATAAAATCAGACCCTCAACCCATTCTTCATATTTGGTGAAAAATATCCCTGATGGTGTACAATCTGCTCCTCACCTTTGAGTCCAGAAAATAGGAATTTGCATATCTACACAATATGAAACCAGAAACAAAAGACAACCACAGAAGGTGTGAGGAAGTCGTGTTGATATCAGCCTGTGTACAGCGTGCCCTTCTTTCAAAAAGAAAAGCAGAGCCCGGGATTGGAGGGGTGCGTCCTAGGCATCCACACAGTGTCTCTTCACCACAGTAAATTCTCCATTCCAAGGAAGCGCTCGTACAAAAAAGCTGCAAGTTACGTTCTGAAAAAGACAGTGACAAAAAGAACTGAAGTCAGTGTCACAAGATAAAATCAAGAAAGGCTTCCTGCTTTTCAGACTTCAGTTTAGTAATGCCCTAGAAGGTGTGCTGTGACCCATCAAGAATGGTCCAAGGCATATGCTGGGCTGGCAGCTTCAGAGCTTTATAGCTGTCATCACCAGTCACAGAGGAACAATTGTTTAATTATGCATCACAGAGGGACAACCAATGCTAAAAATCCTAATATTTTGTGGAATATGACATGCAAAACTTATTTTTTATTTTCAATTATCTTTAATATTTCCTATAATTCAAATAATATAATTCTATGGTAGATCTAGGCAAATATATGTTATTTTAATAACAATGACTACTTTTGCTCCCACAAATGAGTCAGGATAATAGCAATGTAGAGAATTCTGTGGTTTTTCTTTCAAAAATACTATTGAACTGGCAAATAAAATATTGCCATGTGTGTAAGATACATATATAGGTATCATGGCTACTGAGTTGGTTGTAACTTATGGTGACCCAATATAGGCCAGTAATCAGAAAGCGATAAATTAAAATTATAAATTTAAAACAACCACATTCTTAAATGGGTGGGGGAAATTGAGTTTTCCAGTGCGAAAGAATGTAACAGGACTCATACCTCACACTATGTACAAAAACAAACTCAGATGGATCAAAGACCTAAATGAAAACCACACAATCACAAAGACCATCAACAAAAAAATAGGGACAAAATTAAGGACCATCATACAAGGAATAAACACACTACCGAATGTAAGGGGAAATATGCATGCTATAAAAGACAACCACCACTTGTCTGTCAATTTGTGCTACTGTGGTGACTTGTGTGTTGCTGTGATGTTGGGAGCTATGTCCTTGGCATTTCAAATGCCGAGAGGGTCACCCAAAGTGAACAGGTTCCAGACTAAGCACAGAAAAGGAAGAAGGAAACTGCTGTCCAGCCCAGAGGAAGTAGTTGCTGAAAACCTTCTGCATAGCTTGGAAACACTGTCCGAGATGATGGAAGCAGCATGTTGTCAGAGACAGGACTGGAAGATGGGTCCCCAGGGTCTGAGGGCACTTGAATTGCGACTGAGGAAGAGCTACTTTCTGGGAGTGGAATCAACCTTGATGACTTGAATGGAATAAAGCCTCTGAGAGGGGAGACTTTAGGACATGACTCAATGTGAGAAGAATCAGCTGCAAAAATCTGCTAGTGATCAGAATTTCTGAAGTATGAATCTAGGACAATTAGAAGTTGAAAAAAAAATGAAATGGAATGAATAAAGATCCGTAACCTAGGCCTTAGTGAGCTGAAATTGGTATTGGTTATTTTGAATCAGAAAATCATATGATTTACTCTGCTGGGAATGAAACAATCAAGAGGAATGGAGTTGCATTCATCTTAAAAAAAAAAACATTTCAAGATTCTATCCACCTTTAAGGAAATCCAATCAATACAATTACTATTCAAAAATTTATGTACCAATTGCAAACGCTAATGATGAAGAAATTGAAAAATTCTACCACTGACTTAGTCACAAATTGATCCAACATGCAACCAAGATGCATTGATAGTTACTGGTTATTGAAAGGCAAAAGTTGGAAAGAAAAGTAGTTGGAAATGAAGGTGGGGTGGCATGTTAGAAATTTTCAAAATGACTTGTGCATAGCAAATATCTTTTTTCAAAAACATGAACAGTGACTATACACTTGGACTTTTCCCAATGGAGTGCACTGAAATAAAATTGACGGCATTTGTAGGAAGGGATGATGGAGAAGCTCAATAGGGGCAGCTAAAACCAGGCCAGTGTCTGACTGTGGAACAGACCATCAATCTCTCGTATGGAAGTTCAGGTTGAAGCTGAGAAAAACTAAGACAAGTCCATGAAAGCCAAAATACCAGTTTGAGTCTATCCCACCTGAATTTCTAGAACATTTCAAGAACGATGTGCCCCGTTGAACACTCATGGTAGAAAACTTGAAGAGCTGTGTGAGGACATCAAGAATATCATGAAGGAAGAACGTGTTTAGTCATTAAAAATATAGGGAAGAAATAACAGAGCATTATGGGTTTCAAAAGAGACTCTGAAACTTGCTCTTAATAGTGGAGTAGCTAAAGCAAATGGAAGAAATGATGAAGTCAACGAGCTGAACAGAAATTTTCAAAGGGTAAGTCTAGAAGACACAGCCAAATATTATAATGAAATGAGTTAGAAAATCAAAAAGGCAGAGCCCACTCAGCATAGCTTGAACTGAAAGAATTCAAGAAACAAAATGAACCCTCAAGTTGGAATATTGAAAGATATTATGGGATACATATTGAATAATGCAGGAAGATTCTAAGGAAAGGAAAAGATTACAGAGTCCTTATACCAACACAGACGAGTCTACAGTCCACCATTTCTGGAGGTACCATATGAACAAGGACCATTGTTGCTGAAGGAAGAAGTTCAAGTTGCATTAAAGCATTCACCAAAAACAAGAGTCCAGGAATTGATGGAATACCTTCTGAGGTGTTTCAACACACTAATGAAGTAGTGGAAGTACTTACTCATATCTGCAAGAAAATTTGGAAGACAGCTACTTGACCAGCTGACTGGAAGTGATTCATATTTGTATCCATGTCAAAGAAAGCTGACCCAATAGAATGCTCACATTGTAGAAAATATCACAAATATCATATTCAAGGAAGATCATTTTGCTGAAGGTCATCAAAAAATGGTTGCAGCAGTCCATTGACAGGGAGCTGCCAGAGATTCCGGCCAGATTCAGAAGTGGATGTGGAGCAAGGATTTCATTGCTGATGTCAGTTGGATCTTGGTTCAAAGCAGAGGATGCTAGAAAAATGTTTACTCGTGTTTTATGGACTATGCCAAGGCATTTGACCATGTGGACTATAATAAACTGTGGATAACCTTGAGAGGAATGGGAATTCCAGAATACTTCATTGTGCTCATGTGGAACTCATACATGGATCGAGAGGCAGTTGTGTGAACCAAAGAAGGGAATATTGAATGGTTAAAAATCAGCAGAGGTGTGTGTGGCAGGGTTGTATTTTTCACCCTATGTATTCAATCTGTATGCTGAGCAAATCATCAGAGAAGCTGGATTATATGAAGAATGCAGCACCAGGTTTGGAGGAAGGCTTATTAATAACCTTTGATATGCAGATCATCCACCCTTGCCTGTTCAACATGAGGAGGATTTGAAGCACTTGCTGATGAAAATCAAGCAAGTTTAGATTACACCTCAGTATAGGTTACACCTCAATGTAAAGGTGACCAAAATCCTCACACCTGAACCAATAGATAATATCATGATAAATGGAGAAAAGGTTGAAGTTGTCAAAGATTTTGTCCTGCTTGGATCCACAACCCATGCTCATTGAAGCAGCATTCAGATGGCCAAGAGACCTGTCCCCCTGTCTGGTATATCTGAACTTGTAACATCTTGGGTTCCACTAATCTTATCCTTCCCCAAACATGTATAACCAGGCTCTGAGCTTGGGTTAAAGTGGAATGAAAAGGTCTTACAGTCAATAGATCAAAAGATGAGGTACATTAGGTAAGTCTACTGCACAAGACCTCTTTAGAGTATTGAAAAATCAAGGACTAACTTGTGCCCTACACAAGCCATGTTATTTTCAATTGCCTTATATGCATTTGAAAGCTGGGCTTTAAATAAATAAAGAAGAATCGATGCATTTGAATTGTGGTGCTAGACAAAAATATTGAAAGTACCATGGATTGCTGAAAGGACAAGTCAATTTGTCTTGGAAGTACAGCAAGGGTGGTACTTTGAGGCAAGGATGGCAAGACATCACCTTACATCCTTTGGACATATTACCTGGAGAACTTCATGCTTGGTAACGGGGCGGAGCAGTGGAAAAGGGGAAGGCCCTCCGTGAGATGAAATGACATAGTGGCAACAACAATGGATTCAGGCATAGGAACAATTAACTGTGAAGACGGCACAGGACTGGACAGTGTTTTGTTCTGTTGTGCACAGTCACTATGAGTCAGAACTGACCAGATGGCACCTAACAACAACGCACTCCTAATAACAGTGTGCTATAAACATAAGACGGTAAAGCGTAAATATAAAGGATCAGGTGGCAAGCTCTCTGCTTAAGTTAGTTCCTGTAGTATTCACTATTAACTTGAAATGATAGAACTTGTATATTGTTAGCAAGGTAGGCAGTTTTAGTCAAAAAATAATGAGCATGTACTCTGTTAATTTTAACATCAATTAATTTTCTGGACCATGCAATATGTAACCCAGTTCTCCATTGGAGTCTTGGATTTCATTCAGGCCCACTGAACAGAAACGTATGTGGGAAGCAACTGTCTCTGTTTAATCAAAGCCTCCAGGTGATTCGGATGCCAGCTCAAGTGTGAGATCCACCAGACTACAGAAAAGGGCAAAGTCATTGAAGTTCCCTGGCAGACAAACTTCCAGAAGTCTGAGTCCTTCCATCTTGGACTAAGCAAGTGTCTGTGAATTTTCTGAGGCTCTCTCCATGCTGTGATCAGGAAATGCAGACTTAAGACTTAAGACTAAAAGCCCCTGGGCCCAGGACGCTTTTAGGAGGACTCTTGGGCTGTTTTCTGATCCTCATGGAAACCCTAGTTGAGCTTAGCAAAACATGTTAATGTGTGCCTGGGAGCACAAGGCCGCTGTTGACCTAGTCATTCCTGAGCCTTCAGCTACAGGATTAGCACCTGGCACAAAGTAGGGCTGATACATTTTATGAGCAGGTGAGTGAATGGAGTGAATGAGAACTTCCTTTGTGTCTTCCCTAAGCAGTGAGCTATCATAGGGCCAATGGATGTAGTTCAAGTCCAAGGATAAAGATGGTAAGTGCAACCATCATAACAAAGACTTCCTTTGTCAAAGTCCTTAGGCGTGGAACTTTTGTTCTCAGAATGAACTTGGCCACATGTGGTCTCTGAGACGGTGAAAGAGGGCTCAGAGCATCCTATTACCTTCAGTATCTCCTCCTAATCTCAGCTCTAAAAGTCACATGTTTAACCTCAGAGAGAAGTGTGCATACCTCAATTTCTTTGTCTAGTCTCAGAACAACCATGCCTTCACTGTCCGTTGGTTTGTCACCTACCTTTCCTAATTTGTTGCTTTGTTGAATGACACAGTTTTCATTGTAGTTCAAAGGCTTTTTACAGGTGCTGCGGGCAATTTCCACATCAATGAAGTATTCCATATGATCTGTGACCTGTTGGTTAACAACCATGCAATTTTATTCATAAAAATGTGTTCTTTTAGTTTTAGCAAATACTAAAATTATCGCTTATTCTTATTGTCTTCCTATTTCCTCCCTCCTCATGCCTTCTCCTTCTTTACCAATCCCCTCCCTCTGTAGCTCTAGCTCTCCAGACATATCTTAAGGAGGAGAGTGATGCCCACTGCTTTGAATCCAGGGCTTACAGAGACCTGCTTAACAACATGATAGCCAGTACCTAGAACCACTACCTAGGCCCTTTCTAGTGTGAGTTTCTTTGAAGACAAGACCTCTTC